TACCTCCCAGCCCAAATCCTTTCTGACCTCCTGTCCTGAAAGAGTTGCAGTTAATTGGCAAATTTAATACATTTTATTGAGTAGGAAGAGAGCAGAGGAGGAAACATGCAGAAGACTTAAAAGACCTCAGTTTTAGCCTCAGTTCTAAAGTCTGGGTGGCCTTGGGCAAGTTCATTCATCCTCTCTGGTCCTTCATTTGCTTCTGTCAAACTCTAGACATTGGAACAGACATCGTCTGAGGCCCATTCAGCTCTAATGTGCTAGATTTTGACTTAATGGATGGAAGCCTACGTTTAACAAACACAAATTGTCATTATTGATTTGTTTGATAAGGAAATTCCAGGTTTTCAATCCAGACCAGGTTGGTTTGAATTCTGAAGGGATCAACTCAGGCAGTGAGATGAGGAGACTACTCACTCCAAACAGGTGATTTCCAAGCAGGGACAGACAGCCTGGCTGGGTCATCTCAGCCACCATCAGCTTAGTTACAAAGGACAGACTCTCCCTGTGGTCAGATGTGCCCGTATCAACACATTGCCACAATTAGCCATGGCAGAACCATTTCTCTTAACTAAGTCTGTGAGCTGAAGCCTAATTAGACAGAGGCAGTTGCTTGGAAAAACAATTGAAAAAGTCATGCCCCAATACCATCTTGTCACTGCAGGAAGCTTTAATCAGCAGAACTTGAAAAATAAGGGAAATGGTCTCCTCAAGGCTGTGTTGCCTTCACAAAGAGCCAAGTTTCTCTTCTGGGATGACCTCTTGCTGAGGGGCTTTGATGAGAAAGCCGTTCTCTCAATGCAGCTTTGAGAAATATGAGCCGTTAGGTTTCTTTCTCCTACAGTTGGGAGGAAGCAAAAAAAGAATCAAAACGTTTTTGTTCAACACAGCAGCTGGAGGATGCCTAGAAAATATCCAAACTGTATGTTAATAAACAGAACCCAAATGTCCCAGTTATTTCTACATCCTTCCTTCAATTCAACAGGCCTTCCTCTTATTTTTAGGGGTTTTCCGAGCTACCAATCTACTGACCTCAGTTATTTCTGGTACATTAGTGCTCCTGAAAAATTCAAAATTGTCCCCTTCATGGTTCGGTGCTTAAAATTCTGAATCTAAAGCGATACGACCAGCCCCAGCCTGGGGCTTTCCAGGAATGGCCTAGAGAGACTGTCAGGTGAATTCTCAGTTCCTCCTATCCGGCCATACCAATGCCTCTCTTGCCCTTGGTAAGTTTTCTGACGTAGTCATTGTTTTGAGCTGTGGTTATAAAAGTTTCAACTTGAAGCTAATTCTGTAGCAAGTAAGAAAGTGAAATCACTGCTCTTGGGGCAAAGTGGTGATTGATGAGTCACCTGCCCTCCTCTGAAAAGCAACTCAGTGGTTTAGTTCATGGTCCTCCTGGTGGTTCCATGGAACCAAGGGAGCCTAGCTCTTCCAACTTCTGCCTCCATTCTTCATTTGGTCAACTGAAGATCGAAGCATCTTTTTGGCCCCCAAACTGACAGAAGCGTTTGATTTGGGATATTGAACACGTTTCCAATGAAAGGTTTTCATTCAGCAGCTTCCACTGCCAAGTACAGGGTAGTTTCCTCAGAAAGTATATGAAAACTAAAGAAAGTGGAGGGGCTTATGCAAATTCTCAGCAAGGCTGACCTAAACGATCAAAAGAAAGATGCCCTGAGGGCTAGAGTAGAACTCAGGTCTGGTTTGATAGCCTGTAATCACCTGTATATCACATCCAGACTCTGACTTGAAAAATCTACCATGTTGAAACAGAAGAAGTCCCTAAAGAAGAGCAGATGTGGATGTCCAGGCATCTTACTAGATGCATCCAAGACAATGTGGAGGAAGCCAGAAGATCAGGAAGTATGTCCCCATGAACCAGCGATAAGAGACAATACAAGGTAAACTACCCGGCTGAGTCCTTCACACCTCCATTTGCATTTCTGTTTCTTTCATTTTTGTTTGTTTTTTTTTAAATAATTGATTGTTTGGAACTTATAGCCACCTAGTTTTCCAGCACTTGAAATTATGAGAAGGGTGCCAGACACTTGCAAATCCATTCACACTGAGAGCAAGACCACATCTTCTGGTTTGTACAGTTCACTGCCTTCCCCATAGTGTGTGAATTTTCAGAAAGAGATCTGTGGGCTACATAATAAGCAATCTTTTCAACCCATGAGGCTACTGAAGTATTCAAGTACCCAATCCTCAAGGGAACTGCAAAGCCATAGTCTTAGACTTAAAAGGGAAAATTGTGTAACATCTCCCTTCTGTGTAACACCAACATTTACTGGTATGACTATTTCTTACCACATCTTTCCTATGAGGTAGAGGAACAGAATGATAACATTTACACATCTATTGGTTTAGGTACAGGGAAATTTTCAATCCATGAGTATGTTCATTGGGAGTATGAAAACAAAATAAAAATTTGACTTAGTTTCTTTAAGTCACAGTACTGTCACCAAGTATTTTGGACCACCTCACATCTATTAAAATCGAGTTTGCTTCTCTGGATCACACCCTTTCTGGAGGCCAGTCAGCAACATGGCCCCCATGATCCTCGCATCCTGGTATTCATGTCCACTTCCGTGTCTTATTGGGGTTGGTTTTACTATGTTGGTCTACCAGTGGGGTATGGCAAGGGCAAGGGAATATTATTTCTGAGGACGGGTCATAAAAGACCTCGTGACTGCAGCCTCACACACTTCCTGTGGGATTGCTCACTCTGGGAGAAGCTCATTTGTGAAGACACTCAAACTTTGTTATGCAGAAGCCTATTTGTGAAGAGCTACGGAGCCCAACGGCCAGTGAGGAACTGAGGAGTCCCGCCAACAGCCGAACCTATAGGAATGAGCTTGGAAGTAAATCCTCTCACCCAGTCGAGGCTTTGGATGACTGCGGCCTTGGCCAATATCTCAGTCACAATCTCAGGAGAGACCTTGAACCAGAACCAACCAACCAGTGGAGCTTGTCCCTAACACATGACTCATAGCAGCATAAGATCGTAAGTATGTATCGTTTTCAGCCAGTAGGTTTTGGGGAAATGTTATGCAGCAATAGATAAACTCTCTCTCTCTTTTCTGGTCTTAAATGACTTAAGGTTGATGCTTTATCATTTATTTCCCTAAACCTGTCTACTCCAAAGTAACTTCTTATGTCTTTTTAAAGTACAAGTTCAAAATGTCTTTAACCAACTCAAGTAAAATATAAGATCTCACTCCAAGAATATATTGAAAAAGACCTCAGTCTTGTTAGTTATAGAGATTGTCCCACAAGGCTTTTCTTTCAGGATTAAGTCACATGCACACACAATTATGTGGCTAACTCATTAATTTTGTTAATATAACTCTTATCAAGATGCTAAACTGAGGTTGAGATAAAAAGAAAAGACAGTGGACATCACTTTACGTGTATCATCTGCTAAAATGAAATCACCTCAAGACATTCCCCTTAATGCTTTAATTATTTGAAGTAGGAAAACCTCTGAAATTTCTCCTCCACAGATTATTTGTGCCTAAAATAATTGTCTGAAGCATTTTCGAATGCCAGTTTTCTCCTTATCTAAGAGACAAACACGGAGCATGACTCACTCCCTGCCACGTCTCCCTGATAAATCCTCACTGCAGCTAAATAAACTGACTCTCAGAAAAGGTTTTTGTGGTTGAAAATCTACTCATGAATCTTGCAATATTTTCCAAACATGCTGGCAACACCAGGCTCTCACTGACTTAAGATATCCTAAGATGAGAAGCCTGGCCCCAGGCCTCTGATTTTTAATCCTCTGAGCTGTGTTTTAGCTTGAAATCCTCTACTCAACCAAGACAGATTCACCACCTCTACAGCCAAAGCACCTCTTACCCAGAGGCCAATAATTCAAGGAGTGGCCCAGTGGAATCTTTCTGTGATTCTAGACTGTTTACTGAAAAGAAAATTGGATATCTGTAAATGACCATTGCTCGGCTTCCTTGTAACTTTGTGAAATAATTCTCCAGTGAAAACAGATGGCTGAATCACTAATAAGAAAATAAGAAGAAGAAAAAAAGCAATTTATCCCCATGCTTCTGTTTTGTTAATTAAAATTCTAGTAACCACAATAAGTTAGGTAATTTGTGCTCCATAACGCTTCTTTATTCATGATTTTCTTCTTACCAAATGAAATAGTCAATGAGAGAAAGGCGGAAAGACTGCAAATCTGAGCTGACCTATCAGCACCTCAGACGAAAAGACACATGTCCAATAGGGATTAATGACCTCCATGTACAGGGCCAGTATATACTGTGATGAGAGAAAGAAAGAAAGAAGAAGGAAGGAAGGAAGAAGGAAGGAAGGAAGGAAGGGAAAGGAAGGAAAGAAAGAAAGAAAGAAAGAAAGAAAGAAAGAAAGAAAGAAAGAAAGAAAGAAAGAAAGAAAGAAGAAAGAAGAAGAAGAGAGAGAGAAGGAAGGAAGGAAGGAAGGAAGGGAAAGGAAGGAAGGAAAGAAAGAAAGAAAAGAAAGAAAAGAAAGGCATCCAAATTGGAAAGGAAGAAGTAAAAGTATCTCTGTTCTCAGATGACATGATCTTATGCACAGAAAACACTAAAGAATTCACAAAACGCTATTAGAGTTAATAAGCACACTCAACAATGTTGAAGTACACAAGACGAACACACAGAAATCAGTTGTATTTCCATATACTAGCAATGAAAAGTCCAAACGTAAAACTGACAACAGTTATAAGATAGATGAATAAAATATACATAGGATGAATTCAGCCAAGGAGGTAAAGACTTGTGCACTGAAAACTACAAAGCACTGCTGAAAGACGTTTAAAATGACCCCAAAAAAGGGAACAATATCAGCATTCATGGACTGGAAGACTTAATAATGTTGAGATGGCAATACCACCCGAATTTATCTACAGATTTACTGCAACCCCTACCGAAATCCCAATGACCTGTTTCACAGAAATGTAAAATCCAATCCCAAATGCATGTGGAATTTCAAGGGACCTTGAATAGCCAAAATAATCCTGGGAGAGAAGAAAAAAGCTGCAGGACTCACATTTGCCTCTTTCAAAGCTTAGCATAAAGCTACAGTTATCAAAACTATGTGGTACTGGCATAGATCAGTGGAGTAGAATGAAGAGTCCAGAAGTAAACCCATAAAGCTATTCGTAGGTATAAACCCCAAAGAATTGAAAACAGGTGTTCAAAGAGAACCCTGTCCAGGAATGCTCGCCACAGCCTATTCACAACAGGCATAAGGTGGCGGTCACCCAAATGTCCACCAGCTAAGGAGAGGATACACAACCTGTGTGGTCATGCCATGTGGTGGAATACTATTCGGCCATGAAAAGGAATGAAGTGCTGATTGTGCTACCAGGTGGATGAACCACGATGAAAATGTTACCCTAGGTGAGAGCAGCCAGACACAAAAGGCCACCTCTGTATTGTATGATTCCGTCTCCGGGAAGTCTCCAGCACAGGCCAACTTCTGTGGACAGGAAGCAGATTAGTGGTCGCCTGGGGACTATGGGGGTGGGAGTGGGGTGGGGGAAACTGCAGGCGGCGGCAGTGGGGATGACTGCCTGGCGGGTACAGGGGCTTCTTTTGGGGGTGGTTTCAACGTTTTGGAATTAGATGGCTGTGACGGTGGCCCAACACCGCAAGTGTATACTTGGTACCACTGGATCGTCCGCCATTTGCTCTTATCCTAGAGTTCCCGTCCCATGGACAGTGGGAGTTCCCTCAAAGAGAGGGTCCAGCGAGCAGGTGAGCAAGCATCCTGCCAGCACCACTTCTTTGCAGGCCCAGGCCCTTTGCAGGGGCGGGGGCGGGGGCTGGGGGCCAATGGGAAAGCAGTGACGTCACGGGATCTACGTGTCACGGGGCGTGCGCCCTGACCAATGAGGGGCCAGCCCGTGGTCGCTAGGCTGCGGAGTAGAGGCCTGGATACCCGCTGTCTGCAGACGTTGGGATCAACTGCCACATCTCATCCCCCCGCACCTCATCTCGCCGAACCACATCCCACTGCATCTCACCGCACCGCCTCGCCCAGCATCCCGCCGCACCGCAGAGCTAGGCCAGTGGGAGAAACCGCACCCTACGCCCAGCATGCCGAAGGAAAACAGCCGTCGAGGGTCATCCCGTGGTCACCAGAGGCGGAACCGCTCCTGCTCCCGCACCACCAGAGCCGAGCTGTCGTTCTCCGTGAGCCACACGGAGCGCCTCCTGCGAGAGGGCCGCTATGCCCAGCGCCTGAGCTCCACCGCACCGGTCTTCATGGCGGCCATCATCCAGTACCTGGCGGCCAAGGTCCTGGAGCTGGCGGGCAACGAGGCCCACAACAGCGGCAGGAGGCTCATCACTCCAGAGTTCGTGGACTTGGCGGTCCACAACAGTGCACTCCTCGGTGGCTTCTTTGGGACCACAACCATTTCCCAAGTGGTCCCGGCCCGGCAGTAGCTGCCCAACATGACCTGCGGCTCCGGGCCTCGGCCGTCGGGCGCCAGGCCCGCTCACAGCCGGGGCAGCCGCGGCCTG